AAATTCCATTTTTTTTCATCTTTAATGGTCTATAACTTTTGCAATTTTTTATGTGCTAATACACGCTTTTAGCACATTTTTCTAGGCGTCATTCCGGTTCGAATGAGCTATCGCACATAATTTTAAGAGCAGTATCTCTATTTTGTTCCATTTTCAACTTGTCGACTAGACTAATAGCTCTTTGGCAGTGACTTACATATTAAAAACAAAAAAGGTTAAACATACAAAACATTCCACCGTCGTACGCTGCGCATCAAACAAAGTCTATCTTCCACAAACGTAAGCGTAGTGGGAAAGTCAAGAAAAATTTGGAGGAGGCCATCTCTAGAACGGGGCCAAGTCTATAATAAAATTGTATATCTTCCTTGTATATTGTATATAAACTAGTTGTGGATAAATTATTATGATTATATATACGAATTTTCTTTTGCGAACTGTGGAATCGGCTCCCGGGGGGGGTCTTCCCTCAGAGATACGACCTCTAAATGTTTAAAAAGCGAGTCTACTCCTCCCTCAAAGGCCGGCAACGCACCCACTAAAAGTGGTTGTCTATGGGCTGCGTAGACTGCCCTTTTTGGTCGTCCCGCAAGCTCGTTTGCCCCCCTATCATATAAAAAAAAAAACACAATTATGATCGTCGCTTGTTTTTTAAACCGTTTTATTTTTGTTTATTTAATTTTACAGAATCTAATTCATCTGAAACATTTGAAAATCAGAAATATAGCAGTCTTGTGCGCGACAAAAGTAAAACTTTAATATCAAAGCTCCAAGCTTTAATATATTTAAATAAGAGTATTCCCACCTGGATCACGTTACAAAACAATTTAATCAATGATAAAACGTGTTTTTTTCCAATCTATTTGCTTTATCCCGCCGGGCGATATGATCACACCGTTCGCGTGTCACTACTCAGTTTGTGTAAAAAATATACTAGTAATGGTTCTCGAAATGGTGAGTTAGTGAGAACTTCTCCACTTCTTCTTTTATCATTAAAAGTTTCATTTATAAACGTCAAATAGTTGTCAAGCTCATTTCCAAAATGATTAGGTTTTTTTATATAACAGGGGCAAAATGGAGGCTCCCCTGATGTTAAGTGATAGCCCATAGACAAACGCATTGCCAAAGGGTTCGTAAGTCCTCTTAAGAATTTGTATGCTCTTTTCTTGAAACCTAAGTCGAATTGGTCGGTTTCACAAAGTGGTGGCCGGTAAAAACTGCCATAAAAACGCTCTATCTATATTCTAGACATACAAATATCACATATTGTTCGATATTTGTAAGTCATATTTTTAAAACGATTAGCTAGCAGTTTACCCTAGATAATCAGTAATTGAGAGGTCAGTGGTTTGTCCAGTAATAATAACTAAATTACTACAGTAGAATCTTTCTAATCGTCTACAAACTTCAAAAGCCTTCATAAAATAGTTTTTTTTAATCCGCAAAGACCTATATTATCAAGATTATTTATTGCTTTGTGTTAAGGCGCATTCAAAACACATAAGTACGAATAAACCTAGCTTTAACAAACCTTAGACAGTTTGGTAGATTTTTTAGCTTGACAGCAAAAGTTTTGTCGAGTTTTCATAGTAGGACGCTTCTCCACAGTGTTTGTGTTTATGGATACCAATTTAGTGATTGCGCGGGAGACGCAAAATAGAGGGGAATACAGCGGTAACGTGTTTTAATAAAGAATAATCGGGAATATTTTAAATGCCAGGTGATTTGTATTATAACCCAGCCAATGACGGTTTAACTTGGAGTTGAAAACTACACCTGGGTATTATGTGTTACTAACATAGACAAATGTAAAAACATCAGAGGTGGGAAGAGTCTTTTCGCACGCGTCACAGATAATACAAGACTTTGTGTGCCTCAACTCTCTCTGGGTAAACTATCTACTGTTCCGGGAGCCGCATCAGCATTACCCTAAAGCCTACTCCAGAGTTTGACCCAACGCACTGTTGAACTCAGAAAGTCAAAAGCATCTTGGTACACCTTCGAACTCTACCTGGGAAACTTCTATTCATGACTCTTTTTTATATAAACCGAACATATAAGTATATATAAGCACTTACTGTTACGAAGAAAATATGTAATATCCCCTAAAAGCTACAAACATTATTAATAAATAATTATAGTTACGAATTATATTGACCAAGCAAATAACTTGCGTCCTAACTCGCAGTAAAAGGTGAACAGAATACAGTCGCTGACAAAATGTTAATATTCATTTTAAATTAAGCTTTTTGCTTTTATAATACTCGTTTTTAAAAAACAAATCCTTTAATATGCAAATAGACAAAAAAGTCAGAGGAATTGTTCGGATTAATAGAACCTCCTGCCCATTTGACACCTGTTACTTATAAACGGATATTTTGTCATTATTCAAGTTACATTTCAAATAGTCTTATACATAACAATAACCACGAGTAGACATTTTATAGTATTGTTCCAACAAGATCAACATGAAAGCTTACAAAAGTGAACTAATATATTTATTAAAGTTCACCACATCATACATAATGCTATATCTACAGTATATGTATCTTTTTTAAAATACAAGACATTTATGGGAAAACAATACAATAAAAATTACTAGCAAAACAGCGTAATAGGTATCAGATAGGCACTAACTTTTTAAAGCCCACTACCAAAAATAATTAATCGAAAATAATGTACGCGACTGTACACCAACCCAACAGTTTCGTGTAATGATGTTTGCCAACTCTCCCCCGAGATAGCGTTGCGTTTTACGGGAATTAAAAACTGCCCTTTCATTATAGCCGCAGACAATTTTATGTTTTTTTTTATACTTTCGTGACTAAGATATGAGTCAGCCAATGTAATTTATACTTGAGAGCTTTTGTGAATTTGATGTATGCCGTAATATATATTTATCATCTGAGCTTATGGCATTATTGATATAACAGCCCAGCCCTGCGATTCTGTAACTCACTTTTCGAACTCACACTCACTTCGAAAAGGTGGGAGCTTGTAGTTTATTGCTTATCAGAGTGCCAAATCATAAAATGACTGCTTCACGACTAATTTGAGAGCGACCGCCGATGCGAAAACCGCTGTGTGAGTTCGAAAAGTGAGTTACAGAATCGCAGGGCTGAATTCCATTTGGAATTATTACGAGAGATTACGCTATAGGCAGCTAATTTGACAGCTTTAAATAGCGTATAGTAGCGGCTTATGTATTTAGTAGGATAACGATTTTTTTTTCTATTTGAGCCTTTTTAGTATACAGTACGCTGTGCGGTGTAGTAGCAGTTACTCTATCTGTCGATTTCTAATTCCAAATTTTTTGGCGCATAGCACGCTATTATTTACGGCTTTGATACAGACAATGATAAAATGACAGGTGGTATTATTGTCATGTAGTATTGACCACGAATGAATCTTATCCATTAGGATAAAATTCAGAATTAAGTTTATGTTTAGTTAGTTATTAAGGGCTATTAAGCCCTTGAGAGTCTCGACCACAGATCACGATACTATTTCAACTGTTATTGTTACTACGTCACTATAACAACGGTCTTTTCACCTGTGGGCTGCTATTATAAACAATCGGGAATTGTTACTAAAATCAGGGGCTTATTCACTTCCTGGCCAGCTGTTAATTTGTGGAACAATGGTACAGAATAAAAAATGATCTGTCAAATTGCTTTCCCGCCAATTTGCGTTCGATTTGCGCCCTCACGCCTGCGTGGCGTGTCCAATTGCATAGATTAAAAACCAAACTCGACTGATATGATTCTACGTATTAAATATTTCATAGACATTAAAGAATATTTAAATAAAAGTGAAAATTAAAAAAATAAATTATTAATTTTTTTTTAATAAAGTTGTAAATATACAAAATCAAAAGTAGTATTTTCATGATTATTTCCATTAAATTTAATTTTGTTTATGAATAAATGGCCTTTATCAACATTTAATACCGACTCCTATAAAAACTCTTAAAACATCTATCCATAATTCCATAATTACTAAAAGTAAACAAAGTATTCCCTCAAAACATAATTCATCAATATGAAACATCGAGGGTCGCCACGCCCTCAATTTGAGATTAATAGTGCGATGTTTAGACATCGGTCGCCATGACACCGGGGGATTGTCAATTGTCAATCTGTTAAAGGGCGCGTAAATACCACATCTCGAGGGGGACTTTATCTGACAACACTGAATAATGAATTTGAAAGGTCAATGTGTAATTGACTTTACGGAGATTTTATTTAGATTTTATCTATTTTATGAGATTTAATTACGTAAAAATGGTCGTTTAAAATTCGATAGGATATACCATTTTTTTCTTAGACTGGTGATTGCTTTTAATGTTAGCAGTGATGGCCTAGTGGCTTCAGCGTGCGACTCTCATCCCTGAGGTCGTAGGCTCAATCCGCTGTGTACCAATGGACTCTTTCTATGTGCGCATTTAACATTCGCTCGATCGGTGAAGGAAAACAACGTGAGGAAACCGGCTTGCCTTAGACCGGCTTCTTAAAAGGCCGGCAACCCACTCGTGAGTCCCCCGGTATTGAGAGTGTCCATTTGCGGCGGTATCACTTAACATCAGGTGAGCCTCCTGCCCGTTTGCCCTGTTCTATAAAATAAGGCCCATAAAGTTGACGGCGTGCGTCAGGCACTGGAGGCTGATCACCTATCATTGCCTATTAGATTAACCAATGATCATGAAAAAGATACAGAAGTCTGAGGCCCAGACCTAAAAAAGGTCTTAGGTCCACTGATTTATTTATTTTCTTCTTGCATAAAAAAACACAAGTGACACTAATCAATTCTAAAAATCGCCTCTGTTAGTGATTTTGCTTCTAGGATTGTAATGTCTGTGGACTCTTTGCGTATGAATTATTATTCGTTCATGACTATAATCTTCTTAAATCTATGGTTTAAAAATATTTCTTCTATTCTTTCTACGAACCGTTTGGAAAATGACGTGATAGAATCTTGTCAAAAATCATTTACAAAATTAAAAAATGTCTGAAAAACAATTACAGCCACGGATCAACATTCCTATCGAAATAACCGATCTACCTCTCTTCGATGGATCGGTCCAGAATATAAAAGATACATTTGTTTCTGAGATGAAAAGGATTGATGAAGAAATGACCAAGTTTAGGGTATTTCTATTATGTATAGCTTTTGCGTAGTACTTTTAGTAAAGAAAATGGCTGCTACGCTTTTGACGTGATATGTATGTAGTGTGGACTCAATTTCCGCACTTAGAATGTGGTTCGTTGTGAATAAAGTCCTGGCTAATTATGCCAACCTAGATCTTAGTAAGTCTAGTAAGTCTCCTGGTCATTTCGGAGGCTTGACTGAGCTACCTCACCGCTCCGAGGATTTCGGTTCGTTGGGAAGCCACAGCCACGCATTCCAGATATATATGGGTGACTGATTTCTCAGCGGTGAAACAGCCTCTTCACAAGGGACTGCGCTTTTGGCATAGACCAAATTTGCCAGGAGAATACATACCTAATTATACTGTTTAAACAAAAGCAATGTTCTATCTCTTTTCATCAATGCGAAAACGTAAAAAGACTAATACTAGTTGAATATAGATTGAATTATTGCTTATTAATAAGTTGTCCCTCTCATTTCACATATAAATAAAGAGTCAATCAAATCTTCCAATTACTTTTCAGTTTTCGTAAATGCGATATTCTCAAAGTTCGTTTATAATTCAATAGTTTTGGGCTAACAACTAAATGTCTCCTGACAATTTGCAAAAAGCAGTGATGGCCTAGTGGCTTCAGCGTGCGACTCTCGATCCCTGAGGTCGTAGGCTCGATCCCCGGCTGTGCACCAATGGACTTTCTTTCTATGTGCGCATTTAACATTCGCTCGAACGGTGAAGGAAAACATCGTGAGGAAACCGGCTTGCCTTACACCCAAAAAGTAGACGGCGTGTTTCAGGTACTGGAGGCTGGTCCTACTTGTCTATTAGATTTAACAATGATCATGAAACAGATACAGTAATCTGAGGCCCAGACCTAAAAAGGTTGTAGGGCCATTAATTGATTTATTTGTTTTTTAAATGTTTCCTGGATTCATATTCATTTTATTGTTTCAGTTCCAATGTCTTGGGATTATATGGTCAAACAGACACTACTTTAACAACATCGAAGGATACAGGAAAACCACCCACTTGGGATTCTCTTGTTACTTCTTCTCTGATAGAAGGAGAGGGAGAGAATAGAGTGATTAAACTTCAGTTCGATTTGAGTGAATTTGATCCAACTGAGGTAGGTACTCCAGTACACAGCTGTCTGACTCATAGAGAAATATGTCTCTTTGCCATGCCGTATTAAAATTTAAATACACATTATATAAATATTGTCATTTTTTTGTGACAGTATTATGATTAATGGACTTTTAATTAATTTATTTAAAATTTGTGTATGTATGTATATGTACAAAAAAATATCCAGTATATAATATGTATATATGTAATTCGTATGTTTAGAAATGCATATTAAAATTTTAGGTGAACGTGAACGTCACAAACAACCTTCTCCAAGTGACAGCGACGCACGAATTCAAAACTGACACCAGCAGCACCATTAAAGAGTATAGAAGAGAGTTCCACCTGCCTCGCGGAGTTAACACTGAGCGAATAGTGTCTTCTCTTACCAAGGAAGGTGTGTTGCTGGTACAGGCTCCCTTGCCACCATTGGAATCTTTGGCTATTAAATAAAATTATTGAAATGATTATTATTCTTTGTTAAATTTCATCATAATATATAATGCTATATCCACAGTATATGTTAAAAGATAGCTATCACGAAATATGGTTAAAAGGAGTCATCTGCATCATGAGCATACCCCACATACACACCTTCACGTACTTACCCTCACTTTTACACCATCACACAACACAGCCAAATTAGGTACTTAGTTAAATGTATTGAATAATTATTTGTTGTTTCCTTTTGTAAATTTTTGAACCTTTTTGTAGTTAAATTATGTATTCCATCTCTGGCTATATTTTCAGTGTAACTGTTTATTATATATAATTTATATTAGGTGTAGGATTACGAAATAAATAAATATCTTTTCTAAAATATATGACAATTATGGTAAACATAATGTTACAAAAATACGTTCTAATTTTAGATTTTACTTAATAAACAAAAAATAACTAGCAAGAATTAGGTATAAGATAGGCACTTAACAATGCTTTTTTTAAAATTAATCAGCCCACTACCGAATATGTCAAGCTCTGGATAAGAAGTGTTTATCTATCTGTTCATTCGAATGAGAGGTTCCTGAACTCCTAGATTGGTTTTTGAAGACGGAATTTGGAAAATTCTGCTGATTTTGAACTAGGAATGAATAACGAATTGTTATAACGACGACTATGTTAAAACTGTAGGTATACATTTTTAACTGTGCTACTTATTTTATATGGCGTTGGAAATGGAAATGCTTTTGTTTCGTTCTTTAAAAGCCTATGCCGGAGAAACCTAATCGTTTTTCAGTCTTAGACATGCTAGGACTTTGGACAATGAACATAAAGGAAAACTATACAATACAATACAGAAATAATCAATAGTTTCTCTGTGCCATATAGATAAAGTCAACAAGGCTAGATCTTCTGGGAAGCGGTGCGACGGTTGCCATGGTAACGTGCCGCATCAACACAACACACAGATACGTGTGAAAATACAGCTGACTTTAAGATTGTGGTACACCAAGATCCCAAGCATGTACAGAACTTTATACACTTGACAAGAACGAAAGAAAGAAAGTTCAGTCCGTACCGTATTTATTCATTTCATCCGCATCACCTTGGCTGGAAGTCTGCCACGGTCCGCTTTACAAGAAACATTTTGCAAACTGTCGAATGTATAGCTATGGAATCGACTCCCGATGGTGGTTTTCCCTGGGAGATACGATCTCAAATAGTTTAAAGAAACAGAATACTGGTAAACTGTTCTCCAGAGGCACAACATCACACTAAAATGACTGTCCTTTTACTTCAGGACGCCAGCTCTCAACTACTCAGGGCCGACTAAGAGTCTGTGGTCTAAGAAGAAATATTTACCTTCTATAGACAAAGACCGAGACAGCAGCTGGTATGTGGGTAAAATGGAGATATATTTAAAAGATATAGCTTTAATATATAATTAAAGCATATCATTAATATATTTTTAATTAACGAAACAAAAGTCAAAGTCAAAAATCATTTATTCATATAGGTAACACAATTATGAACGTCAAAAAAAAAGAACAGCCTTGTTTTGCAATTTTTCTCTTAAATGTGTTCAGTGTTCTGTCTTTTTAAGTTATATAAAATTATTGTTCTGCTAAGACAACCGTTGACTGCTTTAAATAAATAAATATATTATAAATTATTTAAAAACAATTATATGGTTTATAATAACAATTATTCCTGTCCGCATCCTATACCTCAGTATTTATGGTCATTCATAATTTAATGATTAATTTATTTAATTATAAATTTTGGTACGTTTATTGTTACGTCATTATTATATTTCATGCATTATGATGATATTTGTGTTACACCATGCATTTGATCTATAGAATTGAAGGCATAACTTGAACAAGAAGAGCTAACATTAGAAAAGGATGAAAGTAGCTGGAAGAGGCCTATGTGTCACAGGACTCGCTGATCACCAAAACTGGCACATCTGATTAGATTAAGTTAGGTCATAATTTTTTTTACCATCGTCATTTGCGGCTTCCCGTTGTACTATGTCCTAATGTTTTTTAGTTTATCATGTGATTACATAAATAAATGCTACTACGAATGTTCAATACATTCTCATTTATTATGTAAATATATGTTTACGTTTAATACTCTAATGACCGGGTTATATAACTCAGTGTATTATGAACCTGATTAATCTGTTTACTTGTGTGAGTTCTATTTATCTGCGGTGACATATGGGCCATAGAATAACAAATTATGCTTCGGCTATAGATAATAAACATACATGGGCAATGGTAGTAATAATGAGTTCGATATTCAAAGTTTTAGCGGTAATTGCGGCGAGTGACAACTTAAAGAAAAGTGGATTTGGGTTCACAGATTATGAAATTGTCAAATAAAGAATGAACATACGCATCAAGCATCTGTGGTATGCCTTTAGACTGGCCGCTAATATTTTTTTAACAAAAAGTATTTCATAGTTTATAGTTTCTTTTTAATGAATAGGTTTTTTTAATATTGAATGCGTATTTTATTAATGAACATTTTAAAAACTGTAAGACAATCATTTTGAAAATTATATTATACAAATATTTTGTTTAAAAATAATGCACTGTCATTATCTTTAGACTCGATTCGTGCTCACAAGTAGCACAATAAGATCGTAGGTTGAACTTCCGGTGGGATCACCTCATTTCCGCTTACACCCTTTAGGGAACCGTTGCCATGGTTACTCGGTTGTAACATGTCTTTCGAGCTCGATTCCTTTTTTAATATCCGTTTTTGAATAAATACTTTTTATTCCTTGATTAACTTTATTTTTTTAAGTGAGTCCGTGAAACATCTATGTACTTTCTAATGTCTTTGTTTTTTTTGTTTAATAAAATAGTTACTTAAGTAGTCTACAGTAGAACTCTTGGTCTGGTTCCCGTTATATCATAATAAAGCATTACTAAAGCTACTGATGTCTTAAACTGCTGGCATAACGGCTGGCTCGAGATGGGTGCAGCCTGCCCATGACAGAAATACCTAAAACCCTTGGCCTTCACCTGCGGAAGGGATTTTACAAACTAATTAGAAATTGGTATTATTCAGTATAAATTAAAATGAGTGTAATTTATTTTCATTAAAAATATATAATAATATTGTGTTTACTATGACGCAAGAAATAAAGGGCTTTTTATTAATATTTTATGTTATTAGGTCAAATCATATTTGTTAAATTCAGGGATATCACAATCGGATCTCGATACAATTAACCCTTTAGCCCTACCCGACACCGCCCATGGGCATATAAATGGTTGTATTAAAATAATTATTTAGATTCGTGACCTGCGCCGGCGCATCCGTCTATTGTGCGCTTAATGAGATGTTCATTAATACGGAATTTATGAATTCTTGGTTTTGTAAACTTCTTTGATACTGATACCTATTGAGGCTACCAATTTTTTTGGATTAATCCGCGATCAATATCTACGATGTTTATATATCTTATGTGCCTGCTGTTGTACTTCTTGCAATATACAATTAATTAATATACTCTACTTATTTTAATTTTTTTATTTAATTAATTAATTTTTTGAAGGAATCCTCGAAAATGCATTTCGTTTTCAAGCATAGACAATATGTGAGTAATATGGGTAAAGAAAGGAAATAATTACTGTTGATGTAATCACCACATAAGAAAATCAAAGACCCCTACGGTGCTTACGTAATACTTGAATGACCCTAAAGCTTTAATACTCAAAATAACAGCTATTTTATACTACTTGGATTTAACACACATTTGAAAATACCTTAAGCCGAGTGTACCACAATGACACAAGATCTATTTCCATTCCTGGATATTTGTTTTATAAATTAAATACCTACATATATATTTTTAATCAATGCTCGCAAGTGAAAACTGTATTATGATAATATGATAATGCTATGTTTTGACTGCGGCTCGTGCTGCACATTAAACAAGTACGTATCAAGAATAATATAGTCTTATTACAATGCGTGTGGACATTTTCATACAATTGGCCTTTTTATTTTTAAATTATGCACAGGGTTGGCAGTAATGAGAAATTATTAAAAGTTTTACATATTAGTATTTGTACATTACATTTGGCGTACATTATGCCGTAAAACAGAAGTGGCATATTATAGCATGATGCACAGACAAAAGGTGGACTTTAAACACAACTATATGGAAAGGACCAAGGGGAAGAAGGAGATGAGGGTGTCCCAAAAAAAGGTGGATAGAAGAAATAGAAGCGTTAGCAGGAAGCAACCTGTGAAGGGGTTCCGATCAATGGTACTGAAGAAGGTTAGGATATTAGGATTACAAGAACAAAAATTGATAGCTAATAATTATTTTGAAATTAAACTTTATTGTTTATCTGAGTTTGTTACTCCCAAACATGACACAGTTCCTAATTAATGGCTAAACCTGTGCAGTTTAAATTTATATATTATATTGTTAACACTTAGTTGCATTAAGTGCGCAAAATAATCACCTAATTATCAGCGGCCTTAGTAATGAAAAAATACTATGAGGAGTACCAAAATAAAATTACAAAACAAAAGCCTAAACATAACAATAAAATATACAGTCTCTACAATTTTCCTAACCTACTCAGTAAAATAATAATTAAAATTTCATAAAATGAAAAATAAAACAAAATTTGAAAGTTTGGTTCCTGTGGCAGAGTGCCTTTTAACATTATATATAATCATACTATTATTAAGATTAAAAAGTAATAAAAGCATTTTAGGTCTTAAAATATACATTATAGGTATGGGCATAACTGAGAATCGGACATCATCTATTTTTCATCCCCCTAAATGTTAAGTCCACCCCAATTTTTTTTTTAATTTTTAGATAATTTTTTTTATCTTAATTTTTTTATGATACAGTATTAAAAAATACATACAACCGCTACGATCAACCCCTATTTTTTATTATAAATGATAAACACGGCAAAACCGTTTGTTGTCGGATTGCCGGATCAGCTAGTATTTAAATATATGACTTG